TTCGTCAATCAACACAAAATTTCCCGAAGAAGAACACTTCTGATGCATTTGGGAGAGCTTCTGGTTTCACTTATTTCTAGTAATCAAATCACACACAAACATGGCACGCCACGGGGTCCTCGGACCAGCTCATCTAGTTTTCTGCCACGTGTCAAAGGCATTAGGATAAGGATCGAGGACAAAAAGCCCACGTGGGATTACGCTTAATGAATTGGATTAGGGCTTACTATTTTAACTCTTGGTTCTTATCTACACACAATCATTCAGCGCCCCTTAATTGGAAGGTTAGTCAGTCCAAAATATCTCAACGCGCCGAGTTTTGGATTGTATTGCTGAGCCTTTTAAAAAAAATAATCATAACGAACATTCTTTAAAAAAAGACAAAACAGAGACAAATTATTAGTTTCATTGGAAAGAATGGAATTATTACATATGATTCTTTTAAATTGATATATATATATATATATATATATTATCCCATTTATTATTTATCTTTAAAAATGTGTTCTCAACTTCTCATGACAAATAAGATGGTAGGGGAAGAGAAAAGAAAAAAGGGAAGACCAAAACTTCTCGTGATTTATATATATATATATTAATATCAACCCACTTAACTTCAGATCATTTGGGCCTAATATTCTTATAATAAGGATTTGGGCTGAATCTTCAGGCCCAACATTGAACAATATACAAAGGTATAGAAAATGAGAATTCATGAGGGTAAATTTAGAATAATTTCTATTGTTGTTCATGAAACAAGAAACAAAAAATATATATTTTTTATGCAATTACTAAACATACTAAATTAAATCAAATCGATCTAAACGGACTTAACCGAAGCTCTTGAAAACGGTCGTGGTTGCACTCGATGAGGTTATAATTCAACATATCGTAGATTCAAATTACGTGGAAAATATAAATCATGTAAAGATATAATATCAGACATCATTAACCTCATAAAGGATTAAATAGCCGTTGCGGTTACAACATGTGGGGGACAAAAAAGCCCAAGTGAGGTTAAAAAAAAAGAAAGAAAGAGAAAAGAACCCGGTGTTGCAAAATCCGACCGTTACAAAGCCCTGTAATTTAAATCTACAAGAAATGATCAAGATCGGAAAACACAAAGCCAGAAACTTTCGAATTTAGTTGATCCACAAAATCAGAATGAGAGGAGCAGCGGAGGAGGAGGAGCTCTTGCAAAGCCTCAGATCGAAAGCGACCGAGCTTCTTCTCCGGGAAGAGTGGCAAGAATCTGTACAAGTGTACACCCAGATCATCGATCTCTGTCGGAACCAGATATCTTGGAAGTGTCGACCCGACCCGGATCCGGATTCAGTCGCGAAGCTCCGGAAATCTCTCTGCTTGGCCCTCTGCAACCGGGCCGAGGCGAGGACGAGGCTCCGTGATTTCTCCGAGGCTATTGGCGATTGCGATCAAGCGCTAGAGATTGAAAGAACCCATTTCAAGACTCTTCTTTGTAAAGGTAAGATTTTGCTCAGCTTGAGCAAGTATTCGTCGGCCTTGGATTACTTTCAAAAGGCTCTGCTCGACCCTCAATCGGGCGATAACTTGGAAACTGTTAATGGGTATCTGGAGAAATGTAAGATGCTCGAGTTACGGGCAAAGACGGGAGCTTTCGATCTGTCGGATTGGATCTTAAGTGGGTTTCGTGGGAAATCACCGGAACTTGCTGAGTTTATTGGGTCAGTTGAGATTAGGAAATCTGAGATTAGCGGTCGTGGATTGTTTGCAGTGAAGAATTTTTGCCCAGGAACATTGATCTTTGTCACAAAAGCTGTTGCAACAGAGAGAGCGATCTTAGGAGTTGGAGATTCAAGCGAAAAAGCTCAATTGGTTATGTGGAAGAATTTTGTGGACGAGGTTACTCAATCAATGACAAGATGTGAGAGAACCCATCGGTTGGTGTCAACACTGTCCACCGGACAAGAAGAGGAGAATCTGGAAATCCCAGACATATCTCTCTTCAGGCCTGAAGGGTATGAAAGTGACTATGCCACGAAAGTGAAAGTGGATATGGAAAGGCTCATGAGCATCCTGGACGTGAATTCTCTGGTGGAAGATGCTGTCTCAGCCGAAGTCATGGGGAAGAACAAGGATTACTATGGAATAGGGCTATGGATTCTTGCATCATTCATCAACCATTCCTGTGTTCCTAACTCAAGGCTCTTGCACGTGGGAGATTACGTCATGGTCCATGCCTCAAGAGACATCAAAATCGGAGAAGAGATCACATTTGCTTACTTTGATGTGCTTTCTCCACTCGACAAGCGAAAAGAGATGTCGGGTTCATGGGGATTCTGCTGTAAATGCGCTAGATGCAAGTTCGAGAGTTGCTTCGACGTTTCAAATAAAAAACTGAGAGATGTCGAAACGGGTCTTGAGAGAGGGATAGAAGCTGGGAATGTGGTTTATATGCTGGAAGAAGGGATGAAGCGATGGATGGTGAAA